GTGCAAGATGGGACGAGGGAATCGTACCATTGGCGTGGAGGCAAAGGTCGGCCACTGATGCGCTGGAAGGCGATACAGCTGATGCATATCAAGTATGAAGCGAGAATGCTGCCTGTCCCGAGTGCCAATACCGCGTTGAGTGCTACCGCCGAGCCAATGTTGATGAGGGCCAGGAGGATGCAGATGACGAGCGAAACCAAAATCGCATTGATGGGGATGCTCCACCGTGGTGAGACCTGATGTAATCGTCAGCACAAATCGTTAATAATAGAGCTTAGCAGTGGAAGTGAACGTAGCTTTGCACTTACATACGCAACAGTGGCGGAGAAAGGCACGCCTTCATCGCGAGCGAACGACCAGATTTGACGGCTCGCTGTTGCCACACAAGCGATGACACTCCCGACTAATGGTAGTATCATAATGACGGTCATGAGGGTGGTCCCGACGTTGCTGTTGGTAGCATTGAAGAAGACTTGAATGAATGGGTATCCTGTCGGAGTTTGCAGTATCTCGTCGAGGTCGCCGAGGGTGAACATCATCGTTATGGCCATGATGATGCCCAAGAAGCCATTCACGTATGCCGCCCACATGATCGACCGCGGCATCGCTCGGGTTGCATCTTTCGTCTCTTCCGCTATTCCGGGCTTATCAGCACACCCGAGGGTTTTCGATCGCTTGTACGAAGCATAGGGGTCCGTTTGGCCACTCACACATGTGGACTTGACTGTCGAAACCGGCGAGAGAGACGGTCAATGGATAAAGACCGACTAGCAGGGACAATCCATCAGAGGGCCAACCTCCGCCGTTGTTAATTTGTAGAAATGCATCGTGAGCATTGTTACGAGGCGACAATGTCCTAGAGAAACGGTCGTAGTAGTCAGTGACTGTTCTTAGGGTTTCTCAAGAGGAGAGTGTGTGATCAGAGTCAAAGATCATAGTGCTAGCTAGCACTGGCGTTCATCTGCGAACAATTTTGCGCGAGAAAGTAGCCGTGACGTACCACAAAATTACGATAATAATGAAGGCGCCGCCCAGGTGCAGGACTGCTAGCGCCCCCTCGACCAGCGGCAGGCGTCTCGCGCCGTAGGTGTTGAACAGCACGCAGAAAAGGACGATGCCAATCGTCATGAGCGTACCGTGCCAGCCCTGTGGAACATAGTTGGGATTGTTGAGGATGATCAGGCCTTGAATGATAGTCGCGACGAGCATGCCAATGCCGGTGACGCCGCCCTGCCACCCTGCGATGCAGAGCCAACCAGTTATGTAGCTCAGGTGTCTCTGCGCCCAAGGAGGGGCATGTTCGGAGACCCAATGGTACTGGCCGCTGGCTGTTGCAGCCTGGTCGTGCATTGTGCTACAGTTAGCGGACCTTCTCCAGGCTGTGTCGGACTTGCAGGAGCTTCACCGACCATTGACGAGAGCTCTGCTATGCTGGCGTAAACGAACAGGAAGCCGCCGAATACAATGAGGAAGCCCCAGAATAGGCCTGCCGTGCCACCGTTGGTGATGATGGAAAAGCTGTTCGTCAAGAGAGTCTCCCACGTCACACTGGTCGCTCATATCGGTCAGTGTTCGTCTCTGATGCATGCGATTGTTTTGACGAAGCAGGGCAACCCGCCTGCGAGTACCTGGACGATAACCAACTCACATGAGCGTTGAGCCGAAACCTGTAATGGAATGCCGCATCAGTCCATGTATCACGTCTCAGCCATGCTGAGGGCGTATCCGGCGCCAAGGCACATACCAATCATCGTTACAAAGGTAAAGACTCTCTGCGTCTCCTGTTTTCGGCCCAGAGTCTTCATGTGTACCTTGTCTTCCTCGGTCCCCTGATACTTGGGTGCGATGCGTGAGGTATTGACATCGTCAAGCTCCAAGTCCTTTGCTGTCGTCGTGCCGTAGGATTTGCCATCTCGATCGATTGACTTCTCCATGATGGAGGTAGGGACGCCGCCGCGAAGAGCTGGCACCTACAGGTCCACGACAGGAGAATTGTGAAGGGCTCAAAGGCGCGATATGAGAGGGCACGAGAGGGCACGAGAATGGGAGCATGGCAGAGAAGGAAGAAACCCCGAACAGACCTCGACCCTTCCGACGTGCTTCGATAGCTTCTGCCGCGCAGCCGAGCTGTAATCTATGTCTCGCTGTCATGCATATCGGCACTAAACCATGTCAACTTGCGAGGGCCCAGCCTCTGGTAAACGTGGGCGTGATCCGGCTGTGCACCGGGTGTAGGCAAAGGACGGGAACTTCCCCAGGAAAAGGAAGGGAGCGGTCCTCAACCTTGGAAGGTGGGCTGCGGGCCGATGAGCAAGCTGGACCCTTCGATAGGACCGGACAGGGTTCGTGACTCGGTCACTTCACTCAGTGTACAATAATAAGAAATGTGTTCGTCTGATGAGGCTGACCGATGTAATGATGAGCAGAGGTATCGCCAGGAGTGTAGTCAAAGGCGGAAGTGTATAACAATCCCGTCCACGACCCGAGACTACACATCAGTTTACTTGCGACGACTTTCCTCGTGCTCCCCACGCACGCTGAATTTCAGTCCTGCATACAATCAATCAATCTGGTTACATTAATTGTCTCTAGCTCGCATTGATCCGCTAGCTCCATAGCCCTAGAATCGCGCAGTCAGATGACGGTAGCGAACCCCATTGGTGCTTACGAGCACATGAAGCTCGTCTCGTACGAACCATTTGCGAGACGCCTTCTGTAGACTGCGAGACAATTGCACCGGCGCGGAAGTTGAAGGATGCACTCGGGACCTCAGGAGTATGCGTGCGCCCTGTACTTGAGTAGGCTGGAAGATGAAGCACGCCAACTATTCGTTGGTATTTGCTTCAAGATAAGGCTAGGCAATCCTCGGCCTGGTAAATAGCAAGTTCAGGGCTCATCTGGCCGGCATGCCTAGCGACTGCAAAGACAGTCAGAACCTGAGGTTGCAGCTGATGGTGCTGCTCAGTCCCTCCCACGACTGAGTAATTCGTGACTTCTTTGCGTTTACCATTTTTCTACGTTACCAACGATGTCAACGACCATACCAGATGAGTACTCGCCAGCCTTGCACCCTATCACTTCCACTGACCACGGCGGCTATGCGAGTATTGCAAGCAGATGCGCTCTCGTCTTCGTACTCATCTTCGCTGCCATTCGGCTTTGGAACTGCGGTCGAATAGGTCATAATCTCGACGATTCCGTGCTGTTTGCTGGAACGGTGAGCTTGCCGAACTTTCGCGAATGTCGACTGTAGCTTACACGCAAGCGCTCCAGTCGTTTCAAGTCATTCATTCGATCCTCATCCTTATTGCAGTCGATCAAGGCCTCGGCCATGCTCAGGGGATACTCGATCAACATGCTATCTCCTGCATCGATAAGGTGCGGACCCAGTCACCCAGGACACCGTTCGTCGTCGAGCTAAGAGAATAACATCTTAGATCGTATACACCAGCGACATACTATACGTAGTCGCGCTGTACTTGTCGAAGCTGTCGATTCTGTGCCTCGAGATGCGTCTGAGCGTTGAGCGGATACACGTGCTGCTGGCCAAGGGCAGTCTGCTCGTCACTGCAGCGGCCATGGTGGCAAGCATCGTCATGGTCGCTGTTGGGTGCGACGCTGGGCGGCCTTGGATGCAGGTCGAGTCTGAGTGCACCAGCCTTGTAAGCACCTCCCACACAAGTACCGCTATACGCTGATGCTGACGGTGTAGTACGACCGATGGGTTGTCATCGAAAGCTTGGGCATGCTTGTTGAGATCTTCAGCTTGGTATTGATCGTTCGCATTTATGTCCCTTTGCAAATCCATTGGAGAGCAAAAGTGAGAGGGCTGTCAACCTTTGGGCTGCGTATGATGTAAGCCCAAGACACTGCGTAACATAAAGGGACTTGCAAACAATTGCTGACTGTTGTCCGCTGCCAGGATTGTCGTCTTCGTCGCCTACCGACTAGCGAGCCTTCGAGACCTCCACACCTCATCGAACCCGCCATTTGCTCAAGTTGAGATCATCGCCTGGACACAGGCCGAACTTGCATTCAGCTTGATCACTGCGACGTTACCTTGTTTACTGGCGTTCATGGGGCAGCTGAACTCAGGGTGGGGCACGATGAATTCCCAGGCCGTAATAGCGCAGTCCCAGAATCACTCGCAGAAGACAGGTGGAGGCGGTTACGAGATGCGTTCGTTCTTGAGCGGCAACGGCAAGGACCTCCGCTCCCACAAAAGTGTAAGTGGCCACAGCGGTCAGCAAGTCGTAGGCTCGTTCAAGCCCCAAGTGGTCTCCTGCTGACTTAGAGATACCCTCCAGATGCTCACCAGTGAACCCTCTCACAAGTGGACGATCAGTGCTCCTCAGGAAGGAAGAAGAAGCCTGGGAAGCGATGATAGCACTGGGATGATCATTAGACGGACAGTCGAGTTCAGCTCTACGACAGAGCCGCAAAGGCCTGTACCCCGATGAGTTAGCGAGCAACGTGATGAGATATCGTACGTGGGACACTGTTACCGTGCCTCCTTCCACAGCTGCCCGATCGCGCCAAGTGTATGGTCCTGGCGACTGGGCTCCTGTAAAAGCATTGAGGGCATGCAGTTTTTGCAGAAGCCCCGGACAACTCCACGCAAGTCGGGCCTGGAGCGGCTACTGATGAGACCCATAATTGCGTGCCAACGGATGGTAACGAGAATTTCGCTCACACCGGGATACAAGCAGTCTTGCGAAAGTCCAGCTTTTGAAGCGCGATCGCGATCGTGTTCTAGGAACATCAAGGCCAAATTCGTGGGTGGCTCCACTTCTTTCGATGTCGTTTCTTCCAGCGGTCACTTGCTGTGGATTGACCATCCGATATAGGTACAACATCGAGGTACTGTACTGATCCTGTCCCGCACAGATAGAGAGCTTTTTGCTTCCGGCAGCTCCAAGCAATATACTGGGAGCTATATATTGAGACAAAACAGCGAGTAGGACGATGTTGTAAGGAAAGTCAACGTCGAACTCCAACCTGCCCGTTTGGCTTAGTGGTACAGCGTCTCACTCGTAAAGACATGAGAAGATCCTTCGTTCGATTCGGAGAATGGGCATGCTCTTTTGCTTTTGCCTCTTGCACATGATGTACATGCGACGACCAAAGTTTTGTTCCGGCACTGTTCAGCTCTGCCGCTCTGCGAAAGACTCCCGTGACTCGTGGCAGGTGAGTGCCGAAACCAAAGGCCGGCATTTGGATTTGACCGCGGGGTGCTTCCTCATCCGCCATCGGTGGGGCAATTCTGATAGACCTCCGTCTGCAAATACCAACGCTATCTACTCGAAGCCCATCTGGTCTCCTGAAGGCTCCGACATAAGGTAGTATCTGGTCTTTCATTTGCTTGCAGCTGGAAGCCGTCCTTCACACGCTCTTCTTCCCTTTTCGAAGCCGCAATGGATCCGTCTGAGGTCGATGTGCCTCCGTTGAAAGACTTGACAATCGACAACATCACAGACAACGTCAAGCTCATTAACTCGAAGTGTCCCAACCCGCGACTAAAGTACATCTTGGAGAGGGTCGTCCAGCATCTTCACGACTTCGCAAGAGAAACCAGGCTGAGCCATGACGAATGGATGACAGGCCTGCTGTTCCTCACTGCAGTGGGCCAGATATGCACCGATGTTCGACAGGTGAGCACTGAGCGCTGGAGCCAAAGACTCATCTCCTTGCTAAGCCTCCATTGCAGGAGTTCATCCTCCTCTCCGACATCCTCGGTCTCTCACTCCTCGTCGACAGCATCGACCACCCGAAACCGCCTCAGAGCACAGAAGGCACAGTCCTTGGGCCCTTCCATTCCCACGAAGCCCAAGTGGAGCCTAACGGCGCCCAAATATCGCACGACCCGGATGGCGAGCCTTGCCTTGTCCTCTGCGACATCAAGGACATGTCCGGCAAGCCTGTAGAGGGTGTCAAGATCGATATTTGGGAGACGGACAGCAAAGGCTTCTACGACGTGCAGTATCCCGGCCGAGAAGGACCGGATCAGAGAGCTGTCATGCATAGCGACAAGGATGGTGTCTTTTGGTTCAAGGCGATCGTGCCTGTGCCGTACCCGATTCCGTCTGATGGGCCCGTGGGTAAGCTATTGAAGCAGTTGAAGAGGCATTGTTACCGGCCTAGCCATATGCATTTCATCTTCGAGAAGGTGAGATTGATTGGTAAACCGCCGAAGTGAGATACCCAATGGCTAATCCGTATTGAATAGTCCGGTTATGATCATCTGATAACGTGAGTCTGGTCCTACGAGCGTGTCATTTGACGTATCCGCTGACTCGCCGATAGAGCGCTCTACCTCCGCGGCGACCCGTACGAGACTTCCGATGCCGTCTTCGGTGTCAAAGAATCCCTCATCATCGATCTCGGCACCGTCTCGTCAGAGCAGGCGCAGAAGCATGGGGTCAAGGAGGGCAGTAAGCTGATCGGATATAACTTCGTGTTGGTAACCGAGGAGCAGTCGAGGGAGCTGCGCGAGCAAAACGCTATGAAGGCGATGAAGGCGCAAGGAAGGACGATGAAGCTGTGGAACGGCCTGCCTGTACCAGACCTCGATTGAACAGTAAACGTTTGTACCCTGTGCAAGCTTGACAAAGTGGTGTAAAGACGGAGTTGGTTCGTTCGTATTGAATGTTGAAATCCGCGATGCCATCTCGGTTGAGGAGGGGGGGCCCAGGCGCTCCGGCGGCGATAGTGACGATAGATCGTTTTCGCGAGACGCGAAGACCACCACCAAGTAAGAGTAACTGGCTCACAGGCTACATGTATTTTGTTGGAGGACATTACGTTCCTCTGCTGTCACGTGCTGCTCGTTTTCACATGCGTCGAAGCTAAGCCTCTTTAGCGCCGGCCAAGCCCGCACTTTCCGCAAGCGTCAGCCGAACCTAAAACGCAACTGCCAACTTCGCACGCCAACTCTACTTTTCAGTCTCATCACCACGTCCACCTGCACAATTCACAGCAACACTCAACAATTCACTCGGATCAACTTCCATCGTCAGGCACATACCTGACGACCCCAGCAACATCTCAAGCAACCGGCAGACCGAATGGGTTCCTACAAAGCGATTCTATCCACCTCCAACAGTGCGCAAAGCGACACTGTAACCGCTATCCCTGGCATTATTCCCGGACTTTCACGCACCGATTCGAGTTTCGCATCGCTGGATTGGGTAGTGGTGGAAGGCCCGCCTTGAAGAGGTGGGCGAAAACGTGGTGAAGACAGTGCGCTGAGCGCACGAGGACGTGTTGGAACCAACTGCACGAGCAGCCATTAGCTCTGCTGCCCCGGCGGAACTGGAACGCGAAGTCTATGTTTGCTGGCGTCACAACACTTGTTGCCTGACTGCGCTGGTCCAGCGCGACATCTCCACGTCGTTGCAAATTCTGCTCCAAGAACGAAGTATGCCTGGCATCACCATGGACACTCATGGCAGGGCCATGGATATTCAGCGATCTCCACCTATAAGGATCGCGTCTCCCGCTCGCCAGTTGGTGCGTGATGCGACAATGGACGAGCATATGCCTATACCAAAGCTGGATCACGACGCCCTGAGAGAGAAGGCGAAGAAGCGCAAGAAGAACAAGAAGAAAGGCATGCCACCTGCTGCACCTGCTACGAACATCATCAAAGGATTCCACACGCCAGTGACCTCAGGTGGCGAAGAGTCGGACATCTCCGTCGTCGGTACACCGATGCTACGCGCTACGGGTAGCCCAATGATGCGACCAGCGACACCAGGCACGGGCGGTATCAGCGCGTTAAAATCGCGCCTGGATGCGCTGTCGCTCGATGCTGAACAAGGCAGACCGAGTCTTGCAAGAGTGCTTTCCACCGAATCTTACTCGTACGACAGTACTACTCCGGCATCCTCACGGACTAGCGAAAGCGACAAGACGGAGCTGGAAACATACGATATTGCGCTTGATCAAGATTTTGCCAGCGAGAGTGCGGGCACTCGTACGCCTCTTTTTGCTTCACAGGCCGTCGAGGGCGGCCTGCGCACGAATACCGTTTGCCGCAAGATGTGTGCCGATGACTTCGATCCTGTGCGTTGCCTCGGAAAGGGAGCTTTCGGCACCGTTCACCTCGTCAAACAGCAGGCCAGTGGACGTCTATTCGCTCAGAAGCAGTTCAAAAAGGCCAGTCTGACGGTCCACAAGCGTCTCATCGAGCAGACTCGCACCGAACGCACCATCTTGGAATCCGTGAACCGGCATCCGTTCGTGGTCAAGCTTTACTACGCTTTCCAGGACCACGAGAAGCTCTACCTCATACTAGAGTACGCCCAGGGCGGCGAGCTGTTCCATCATCTCGCCATAGAGCGCATGTTCTCGGAAGAAGTGGCTGCCTTCTATATGGCAGAGATGGTCCTCGCTCTCGAACACCTGCACCACAATGTCCGTGTAATCTATCGCGACCTGAAGCCCGAGAACTGCCTGCTCGACGCCGAAGGACATCTGCTTCTCACCGACTTTGGCCTCTCCAAAGTAGCCCTCGAGGACGAACGCGCGAATAGCATCCTCGGTACGATCGAGTACATGGCGCCGGAAGTCATCCAAGGCCAGGGCTACGACTTCGCGGTCGATTGGTGGAGCCTCGGAGCTATCGGCTTCGACCTTCTCACTGGTAGCCCGCCCTTCGGCGGGAACAACCACGCCAAGATCCAGCAGAATATTCTCAAGCAGAAGCTGCAGCTTCCGTATTTCCTGGGACCCGACGCCAAGGATCTTCTCATTCGTCTGCTACGCAAGGACCCGAGCAAGCGCCTCGGTGGCACAAATACCAAAGATCTGAAGACGCTGAAGGCTCACCGCTTCTTCCGCCGGATCGATTGGAAGAAGCTGGAGCGACGTGAAGTCGAGCCGCCGATCCAGCCTGTCATCACTGACCCCGAGCTCGCCGAGAATTTCGACAACGAGTTCACGGATCTGGCGATGAGTCCGGTGTTGAGCCGCGATGGCCAGGGTTTCGCGGAATATATGCAGGATGTGGTCAAGGCGGAGGTCAATCCGTTTGGTGGATTTAGCTATGTGGCCAGTGAGAGCTTGCTCGAGAGTGATGGGTTTGAGCTCGCGGGTTGACTGCGTGGTGGTCTTGGGATGCGACATGCGCTGGTTGAAGCGGCTGGGGAGGTGGAGTCGAGGCTGTTGGGTATCGTCACCACAGTATTCATACCTTGTATAGTCAATACTGCGATCCTGAACATAATGTGTTCGTTCAGGTCGCAATGACCACTCGGTGCTCGCTCGTACTGTGCTAACGTCGGCGGAGTAGACACGGCAGTTGACAGCCTACATCGACACCTTTCCTTACTTCATGCCAAATAGTGAAGGTGCCGTTGAGACTTCCAGCTTCGACGGCTCACGGTAGTCACATCCAATGGCAACTGCGGCACCGACAAGCGCAATGCTTGCTATGCTCGTACCTCAACAGTGTTGGTGGTCAGGTAAATCTGAAGCCGGCTTATTCGTACCACCCTCGAGTCTAAGATCGGTCTGGAGTCCGCTAGAACATCTATATTCGATGCTGACCTCTGATCATCTTCTCTCGCGTCGGTCTCAATTGCATGACGAGCCAGCGCCAGGTAATGTCTTAATGTCCCGCATATGACCGAAAGCCAAGCGCCGGAAGCACGCACATGTTGATAGTCCGATGCATCCTTGTGGTCCATCCATTGGTACCAACACCAGATACCGAGTATCCAGTAGCACAGCACGATGCGCGGCTCGACGCACCCCACGCCTTACTGACGAGTCGACCCTCAATGCCAAGTTGTAGCCAAAGCAAGCTGATGATCATACGTCGCCTGCGTGCACACATCGCACAACACCGGATTCAACGTAGCCGCCGCACAGCAATGGCAAAAGGTAAACCCCTGAGGTGTCCGTGGTGTGTGTCCGGCATGCTGAAAGTAATCCTCGGTATCGGAACCCCAGATCGATGGACTGCGAGAGATGGTGTACGTGGGCTGTGGCATCCAGCCCGGCGTGAGGTACATGTGCTCGGGTATTGGCCATTCAGGTGTTTGCTTTGGGACTAACTGCGGCTGGACGAAGGAG